GAGTCGACAGCTCCCCTGTCCTGACGTTTACCCAGATTAGGCACAGTCCCTTTCACTGATGGCTGTTAACCTCTGTCAAAGGTGGTGCTAGCGGGCTGCAGTAGAGGATCTCTCATGGTCTCTTCCAGCTCTGCCTTCCTCGGGGGTGTTGAGTGTTGGCTGGAGCCAAGGTTGGGTTTGATGGGGTTGTGCCAATGCTCCTGCTGGGACTTAAAGCTGGAGGTTCCAGCATAGACAGCTTTATCCTTCCACTTAGGGCCAGACTGACTGTCCTGTTTGGGGTCAAGAAGGAATTTTATCCCATGGTCAGATTGGAGCAGTGGTGAGCTTAGAAGCAAGAGATCCAGTTTGCCGGTGGGCTCCTAATGAGTGACCTTAGTTGCTAGTCCTCCAGCACAGGAAAACTCAGAGGACTTCCTCTGGAGAGGAAACCTAAATGAAGCATGCTGGAGTATGCATGTGCATGATAGCCTAGCATTGCAAAATAATGCTTGCCCTATCTGTTCAATGCCCTTTCCTCTATGCAACCAACTGGCAGCTAATTAAGCCTCGCCACGTCTCAGCGTGTGGGAGAAGGAGGTTGGGAAGGCAGAAATGGGCATCGTTTTTCAGCTATCTCTGGATAGCTGTAGGATAGCAGATGTCTGTAGGGTGGAGTTGATCACCAGCGTGGTGATGCCCTGCAATGTTACCTCGGGCTTCAGTGAGATGCTGCCAAGGTCAATGCATTCTTGGGGGAAAAAAGAACATAACACTGTGACTTCTGGGCACGTTTGGCTCTGAGATGGGGTGTTACTATCCCTGTTCTTATAGGGAGAGGGAAAAGCAATGGCTTCCTAAGGGATATGTATAGAGCCAATAAACCTTTCTTCTTCATGTGCCATGATGGAAGAGGTTAGCAGCACTTTCAGCTGCTACTAGGCCAGCGAATCATTCTCGCTTAGAGGTGGGAGCTTGTTCTGAAATGGTTTCCTTTGGAATTTGTATTTTTGGAAGAAGCTTGGAATGAAGTAAAAATTAAAAAAAAAAAAGCACTAGCTCAATGGTATACGCTGGAGTGAAGAATAGCCCCTTCCCCTATTAGCAGCACAGTCGGGGGGCAGGTTCCAGTCTGAATCAAAGCTGCGTTGCAAACAAAACCTCGGTGTGTTGGGGCTGAAAACTGATTACAAGGAGATGGGAAGGGAAATTCTTAATTGCTGAGTGGGCCGGTTCTCTGACTTGGTTATACAGGATTGCAGGAAAGCTGGGCTGGAAGGGACCTCACAGGGTCGCATCTATTCTAGCCTCTTACTCCCGGCAGGATCATCCCTGACTAAACCAAGCGTCTGTCTAACCCGCTTCTGAAGACCTGCGAGGATGGGGATGCCACCACCTCTCTGGGTTGCCTCTACCGATACTGAGCCACCCTCACAAGGTGGGTCCGTAGTTGCAGCCGTTGTCGAGTGACTCGTTTCACAACCACGGCGGGACGATCCATCGAATGGAAGCCGTGGGCCATAGGAGCTGGGTCTCTGGATGAGTTTCACTGTACTGAGGATGAGGGCAAGGGAAGGTGAGTTTAATGCAGTGCTGCACTGGCCCCGGCATGTTCAGGCAAGGTGTAAAGGGGCTGGTTCAGAGGATGCTTGGGACTGTGAATAGGGCTCTGAGGAGGCCTGGGTGCTGACGCGGGATCTCAGTGTGTGTGAACATGCTATATCCTTCTCTGCCACTATTGCCAGCTGAGGAACGAAGACCCGGTGCTGCCATGAGAACCCTTGAAATCCTTCACTGAGAGCCCTAAATACTCACATGGCACTGGAAAGTGCCAGCCATTGCAATAGAAATGGAAATTGTAAGCCGAAGCCATGAAAGGCAGCAGTGAGGGCCTTCTGCTGGGCTCCAGCCCTCCGTCAGCAGCACCTGCCCGCAGACAAGGGGTGTCTGTGTTTCGCCAGGTTTACGATGTGGCACAACGAGCAGGGCAGACGAGGCCAGGATGCACCCTGTGGTGCTTAGAGGCGTACAAAGGGCCTTTTTGAGACAGTCAGATGCTGCAGCTTATTTGCCTTGGACTGGAGTATCCTGACCGCAGGAGAGTTGTTCAGCTGACTGGGTTTGCTGCTGCGTTAGCATCAAGGGCACCATCGCTTCCCCGTGGTCAGAGAAGGGACAGGCCAAACGTGGCCGTTTCATGACTGGGAGGCTGCTGTGTATACCTGTTCTTCTGGTTCTTCTGCGTGGCTGGAAATCTCCTGTTTTGCTCCTCTGTGCTCAGCACAGCTGAAGGCAATGCATGTGTTGGGTGACTCTGGGTAGGGTCTGGCGGGGACCGAGTGAAGCAACCAGATGTAGGTGGTAAATGAGGGTGCATGGCATGATTCGTCACAGCAGCCTGGATTCAGCTCAAGCTTGCATCCTACTACCCTCTTGTCTTGTGCTCCCATTTGAAATCCAGCCCCTCTGCACAAATCGGAGTCTGCCAGGGGCTATGGGGCCCTGCTTTCCAGAGAGCCCCTGGGGGCTTCTTCCCTAAATCCTGTCTAACACCCGCAGCATTACAAGCAAGCTGCCCAGCAGCTGCAAGCTTGTCTGCTGAGATTTGGTGACAGTTGGGGAGGATTACACTAATGCCTCTAGTTGGGAAAGACTGTGGAGGAATGGGGTGCAGGGGATAAGCTGGGCAGTGACAGGAGCTGGTGCCATTCCCTGACCACAAGCCATGGGTAGTGATTTAACACACAAGCTCCTTTGGGGCTGCCAAGGGCTTGTGGTTCCCTTTGCTGATTTGCTGCAGACAGCACACACAGCTCCCCTTGTGAGTTCAGATCTGCCTCTTCGAGCATCCCATGGGCTGGCTGCAATGCTCACTGGAGCTTGCTTTATAGCACGATAGAAATGTCCAGTTGGGAGGAGCCTTGTGGCTCCCTGAATCCAGACCTCTGCTGCCCCAGGCACCCAGGTCATTGAATCCCTTCCCTAAATCTATCATCTCTCACCTTAAAACTCATTGCCTCAAATGGTCTTATGAACCGTCCCAGAGCCTCACTTTTCTGATGCTTAGAAACCTAGTTTCCACCTAAATATATTCATGGCCAGTTTATACCCTGTTGTTCAGATTGGTATGGACTTGGGGAGGGGGTTGCCTTCCTCTGTAGTAGGCGCATTGCCCTCTACCCAGAGTCTTTTAAGTATATATTAACAACCTTTTATAGAAGCAGGATGTTCACTTTCACATTCAGCTTCAGTAGGTCTTTTCCCTCCCTGGAAGGTGTTTATATAAAAGCAATCCTATCCTTTCTCAGCCTTCCAAAAGGGGCGTTAGTTCCATTTTAGGGATGGCAAAACTGAGACCAACATGCAAAGCAATTTGTGCTGGGCTCCCCTGTGGAGTTGTCATTAGTTCAGCTTGTGTAGGATGAAACCGAAGCTAGCCACGCGGTGATGAGTAACTCAGTGGTGGTTTCCAGTCTTATATTTTCCCAACTGTGTCTGGTCCCGTTCATCTAGAAAGACCCTCACTGCAGCATTCAGACCTGCATTCCCACTACACAATGGGAATTGTTTCTGGAGTTCCCGTTCAAAGTCACACAACCCAGATGAAGGGCCTGACCTGCAGACTTCAGCCTGTGTGAGGGCTGGAACTGAGTTTAATGACCTAATTGAAATGCATCTCCCTCCATCAAAGCCACAGGCCTGGTGCGCTGGTTTGGGGGTACCATTTAGCTCAGTTTTGTACGGTGAACTGCTGCTTAAGCTGACCTAATTAAACATGGCATCTGGTTTATTGCTGCTGCTTTATTAGGCTTTTAATTGAAGCAAATCTCCCTAGCTGGCATGGCTTCTTCCCTCAGTCCCTACTGCACTCTCCCCTGCATTTGCTTTGCAAGTTTTCCTTGTTCTGTGTACTACTTTTTTTTCCTCACCTCTGCCAGCAATATTTTTCACTCCCAACTGAGTTGATGGGAATATAGCAGTGTGTGTGTTCAGTGTCAGTGAGGAACTTAATTAATCGGCTCCTGATGCTAGTTCCCCTGCCCCTTGCAGTATTGCATCTGTCCACTCCAGATCCCAGGGAAAATGGGACTTTAGTGATGGAAGAGACCCACAGCAGCTGACATGGAAATCATCCCGAGACACAATGGCCAACAAGTAGCAGGACCATACAGGTGTGTGCTGGCACAGACCCACCTGTTGCTTGATTTTATGTGTGCTCCACTTCAGTGGGGTTTTTCGTGTGTGTAAAATTAGGCTTGTGCATAAATCCTTGCACCTAACTCCATTGGACACCTAATTACTTTTGTGGGTCCAGGCCTTGGTTTCTTGTTATCAAGACCTACAAACACAATGCCCAGGTAACTCCATGTTTGACTGGTCAAAGTGTTATTTCCGTTCCTTGTTCCAAGTGTGCGTGACTGCTCTTGGCGTGAAGAAATGCCTCGTGAGCTGGGACCGTGGGCTTCAGGGCTAGTTCTAGGCTAGTGGCTGACTCTAAGCTCACTACTGAACTAAGTTGTTCTGCACCTCCTATAATGGATGCTGGATAAGGATTACACACTTAATCAATGGGAATGCCATTTACTTATGTCATTGCTCGGTTTGCCCCTCAAGGCACCTCCCCGGGCCTCGGATGTCTGGAAGAGGGCACTGGCATAGAAGTGACCATGTCCTGTTAATTTAAACATCCTTATAAGAGGACAATCTCAAACGAATGGGCAGAACTACACAGCATGAGACCCCTAAAGCTTTGTGAGATGCTTTGGGGTAAGGGAGAGGAGTAGCGATGCCCCTTTGGATGCCAAATCCTAATTTAAACCTCAGCCTTACCAGAGCCAAGAGAGGAGTTTCTTTAGGCAGCAACAGGCAAAGGCTGGCAACAGGCTTAGGGTGTTGTTCGTCCTTTAGGAGCAAGCCAGGTAGAAACTGGGATTTTTTTTTTCCATCCGAAGTCAGGCTCGGGGCTGAAAGGGAGGAGAGCAAAAAGCAAGGATCTGATTGCAGCAGGCTCCTCCTCCAGGCAGCAGGTTACCTGCATTTACCTGTCAGACCATCCAGACCTGGCACCACCCACAGTGCCCATGGGCAGGGACTCCTAAAACAGCTGCCCTCAGCCTAGTCCAGGTGCTCTTGTGCAGCTGGGAAGCCCTGCGGTTGCTCTGTAACCCGGAGAGGGAAAGGGCCATCCAGAGGAGCTGTCAAAGCACTCCCGGAGTGACCCTGGCAGAGCCGGGGAGGCAGAGCGCTGCTGGCACACACGCTGAACACTGCCGCTCTGTGAGCACACCTCGCGTGCGCTGGGGCCAGGATGGAGAGCATTAGCAACGGCCTGAAGAAGAAAGCCACGGAGAGACAGCACAGGGCGGAGGTGATGATTGCCGGAGAGCAGCTGAGGTAGGATGTGCTCAAACCAGGGGGGAGCCGGAGCAATCCCTCTTCTCCCTTCTGCTTAGCCACAGCCTGGCTTGACTGGTTGATCGGGAGGTTTGCGTGTGGGAGGTTTGCAGGAAAGAGAGAGGAGGGGTGGAAAGACTATAACACATGTGCTTGAACTAGTCTTAGGGGGAGTCCTGCTGCCTGCCTCCCTAATACCTCCCCCCCTCCTTGTTTCAAGATGCTTGTTCAGTGCAGCGGTCCTTCAGGGCTGGAAACCCCCTCCTTTTCCCAGGGGTTACCCGGTCCCGCTTTCCCATCCTGGCTTGATTTAAAAAACCAGTTTCTCCTCAGTGCTTGGGGGTGTTCAGCTTGGATTGTTGCTCTCATCTCATCCCACGCATCCTTAGTGAAGGTGTTGGAGGGGGAATCTGCTCCCTTGCTGAAAAGACCCCAGGGGGAAAACTCTGGAGGAAGGAGGCAGGACTTCAGTCTCTTCCTCGCTGCTTAGTTTTTACCACCGTTAACACTTGCTTGGTTTGACGGCCTCCGGAGAGAAGGACCCCTTGTCAGCCTTGGTGTCTGGGATGTGACACCGAGCTGATAACACAAGGTCCTGGGCTGCTGGGTACATTTTTTTAAGTGCCCGTTTCAGCCGCTGCTTCTCTCGTCTGGATGAGAGGAGTTTTAGCCAAATGATGTTTGATCCAGAGTGA